CATGAGGTTAGCAATGCTATTGACTCATTCAAGTACTCTGACTACGAATTCCCGGTATCAAGAGGTTAGTAACCGATGAAAATAACAACTCATTACCTTAATGATTAAAGTTGAGGAACAATCGAAACCAAACAACAAGATAACTTACTAACTTCCTAGTTCAAATTACTTCATCTAATAAGTTATAAAAGAGTATATTAAAAGGCAAAATTCCAGCAAACAACTAAACCAACCTAAAACTACAAACAGATCCATAAACCCGAAACTGATTTCGGGTACCTAACATAAAACACAAATGAACAGAAGTAAAATACTCGAAAATAATGACAATATCTGCATTACATAAATCAACCAGCCAAATACCTGGAACATCCCAAGTTTTCTGTTGTAATTCGACTCTGGCAATGTCAAAGAAACACTGAGCTGCAATTTGTGACCACCTCGTATGACTCGGGAACCCACATTCTTCCCAATACCTATCTTCTCAGTACATTTCACACCACAACCAGCAGCGTCACAAGAAACAATCGGAACAAACGCAACCGGACTAGTCTTAGTATAATCAAAGTTCAACATTTCCTTAATCTCCAATGGTTCCTCCACCAAATACCTCATCAAAACCCCACTAATCAGAAGTGAAGTAAACAATAAACCACATAAAACACAGCCTACATATATCGCCCTTAATAGTCCACACCCTATTCTAAACGCAAGGTTCCATACAGATCCACTATCCTTCAAGTTTAACCACTCATTCGTAGGACTAAAGTACCCACAAATAGAATTCCATAAATCTAACACCCTTGCTCTGCTTTCCCTCAGAGGTTGAAAAGGATCAATGATAAACATGTCGCAGAAACCCAACACTGATAGTGGTATCGTAATGAAGCATAATAGCAAACTTAACTGAAACTCAATTGCGTTTGCCACAAAACCAGCTATAAACAATAGCAAACTCGAGGAAGAATGTAGGGACTCACCTAGTTCTGTCCCCGTGTCAGCCGAGCTAGGGTCTCGGTCAACCAATCCATCGTTTCTCGCGCTGGTGAGAGTCGATTCGTCTTCGCTTTTCTCAGCTATGACGTGGGTAGAGTTTAGTCCATCCGGAATCAACTCGGTGATCTCGGACGCTTCTTCATTTGGTTCCAAATCGTGAAAAGGGTTAGAGCTTGGGTCTCTAGAACCGGTTTTCGATGGGTCGTCGATGGTAGAAGTTTCAGGAAGGGAATCTCCGAGTTTCTTGGAGGATACACCACCACGAGAGAAGGTTCGACGGCGGAGGGTAGAGGGTAGCTGAGCCGTGGAAGGATCTGATTGGTCCATTGCAATGGAGGAGTCATCGAGTGTATCGAAGAGCTGGTTCACTTCATCGGTGCCTTCAACTGAGCTTGGGTCGCGGTCAACCAATCCACCGTCTCCCGCGGTGGTGAACGTCAATTCGTCATCGCTTTCCTCTACTACGACGTGGGTAGAGTTGAGTTCATCAGGAATCGACTCAGCTATCTCGGACGTCTCTTCATTCGGTTCCAAATCGGGGTAAAGATTAGAACTTGGGTCTCCAGATTCGATTTTCGAGGGGTCGTCGACAGCGGAAATTTCAGGAAGGGAATCTCCGAGTTCCTTGGAGGAGACACCAGCAGGAGAGAAGGTTCGGCGGCGGAGAGTAGAGGGTAAGTGAGCCGTGGAAGGATGTGATTGGTCAATGGGAATGATGGGCGAGTCATCGTGTGTATCGAAGACCTGCTTGGCTCCATCGCTGTTTTCCGATTCCATTGCAAAATGGATTAACCAGAGAACCACTCACTATATTTGTCCCTTTGCTTTACCGGATGACAAATTATATCAAATTAAATTTTGGATAAACTACATAAATTATCATTAATATTTAAATAAATTTTTTTTATCATTGAAGTTTTAAAAATAATAAATTAATTATTAATGTTATCTGTTTATAATAAATAGATCGCTTCGCATTAGTAGCGTGGGTGATAAAAACTGACATGGCAGGTTAACTTCCAACGTGGCATCGTTTGACCGCCATTTTGACTATCTTTCTCTCCCATTTCCATTCTTTAAATTTACTGCTCCAAGAGGGAATAAAATAAAGCTACGCTCCAGTTGAGGACCGACCACTACGTACATCATCCCACAGCTCTCTACTTCGGTATATACATGGCATCGTTTGACCGCCATTTTGACCATCTTTCTCGCCCATTTCCACTCTTTAAATTTACTGCTCCAAGAGGGGGGGGGGAAGCTACGCTCCAGTTGAGGAACGACCACTACGTTCGTCATCCCACAGCTCTCTACTTCGGTATATACAAGATGCGTAGTTCTTCCTTGGTCAAACATTTAGCATGGATTGGGAAGTCAACAACTTTAGATGTTGAATTTAGTGTTTCAACGAACCATTTATTGCTATCAGATAACAAAAAAAAAGGAAAAACATCATTAATGCATCCATGCAGGCAACAATAAAAGCAGCTCGAGCTTTAGTGAGATGCTCGGGATAAAACGAACGGCATTATATTCTCAAGTAATATGCAAGCCAAAAATTGAAAAATCTACTTCAAGAACCATTCAATTACTTTGTAATAACATCTTTTCCTACAGACATAAGAGGTGTTGGAGGATGTTAAGTGTAAAATGCATATTTATAAGCAATGCACGGAAGGTATGTATATACAAAGAACACATATCCATCATATTGCAGATTCAATCTATTTTTCCTTCTCTAATTGCCATCCAAACAAATTCTCACATGCAAAATCTTTCTAACCATTTTCCATTATGATGAAGAGGTAATAGACAAACATAATAAGAAAAGGCAATAAGCTTTTGGTATTCTAATGAAGTATATCAAGAGGTGCTCACAATCTTGCAAGTAAACCTGTTGTTCCATTGTTTTCAACCGCAGTTTCAACTTGCTATTTTCAGCAGTCATCTCATGATGTTGAAGTACAAACACAAGAAAAGAAGGCCCAAAGCCCACCTGTAATATTAGAGTCAGATGAGCAGAGAGTGTCGTTGCTTCTGTTTGCAATGTGTGTATTTTCCGCTCAAGCTCGGCGCCAGCTATACATTGCATTTTTCTTTCCTTTGACCTTGCAACAGAATGCCTTTTTGCCCAGATCCTATCACATAGCATAGAAAATAAACTGATAAAGGTGGCGTCGAAGAAAAATAAATCAGGGTAACAACATACGTTCCAGTTCTAGAGGCGATGAAATCTAATAGAATGAAAAAGGTTCCTTAAACGAGATGGAAAGAAAAAGGAACAGGAGAATTATCAAAAAAAGACCCAACACCATTACTCGGATTTTCCTCACCCGACGTCCCCATCCTTCCTCTTGTACCCGCCGCAGCCGACGGAGCCGTCATTGCTGAAGTCTTATCAACCTGAAACAATGAGGTGACAAAAGAAGAATTGAACTTATTTAGTTATTTATATCAAGATATGCAGGCAAAAATGTTAGAGAGATGTGGGATGACGTAGAGGTGGTGAGCAGTGGATGAAGATTGAAGATAAATGATGGGCTTTGACTTTTGAGGAGTTAAAAAGAAGTGGGGAGATGAGAGAGTGGAGATGAAAAAGAAAGATGGTCAAATTGCAGGTCAAATGGTACCAAGTTGGAGGTTAACGCGCTCTCGTCATCTAGAGTAACTGCGGTTAACGTAAGAGACCGATTTGTTATAAATTGATAAAATTAGTGGTTAATCTATTAATTTTAAAACTTTAGTAGAGAAAAAAAAACTTACTCAAACATTAATGAACATTTGTGTAATTTGATTATTCTTTTAAGAAAATATTAATTTCCATCATTTATGTTACCGGTCCGTTTGATTTTTAAGTTATTCAATCGTTAATTTTCGGTAATACAGTAACAAAAAACTGACTTGTCAATTAGAAAATAAAACAAATGCCACCAAAAATTTTAAAAAAAAATTTTTATTAAGATAAGATGATTACAAATATTCTATCACCATGCTACAGTCGTTGGTGCTCGAATCCGTAATTTCTAGGAACAACAACAATTCCTTTAACTACTGAAATAAGTTGGTTTGTGAATATCAAATCCACCCTTAAAAATTGTATATGCACACTAAATATATATAACATACCAAATAATAATAATAATAACAATAATCTTCAAGAAAAGATGCAAATTCATATATTCATCCAAAAGCTCTATAAAAATAAAATATTATTTTTTATGTGTTGCCTCTATTATAAATAATGGAAGCATGTTTCCAAAGTTGCATGATCCATGTCTTTCTCATTATTTATTTAGTCAATTTATCCTAATGTATACCATAGATTTTTCAGACTATTACAAAGTTATTATTTTATAATGATTTGATGAATTTAATAATTATTTTACAATTTTAAAAAATTTAATGACTGAACATAATTTATTGACCTATAATGTATTTTACCATTCTTTTTTGTCTCATCAATTTTTTTTGAATTAATCACTGATATCCGATTTATTGACTGACTAATCCAAATCGGGTACTGCAGAGACGAGGGCGACCCTCCCAACCTAATTTGGTTCATTTACAAACGCCAAAATTCGAACTCCTTACCTTACTTAAAGGACCTAGTACATCTTCCCACTAGACTAACTGGTTGTTGATAATTTTTCTAATCATGATGCAAACGCAAAGTTTAGATATTTCCAAGAGTCGGTATTGCATATTTATGTACATTTTGGTGCATGGATAAATTTATATTGTATTTATTAGTGATTACTTCATCTTTTAATTATCATTTCTAAGGAGGATAGCGAGGCTGATTCACTTGGACCATTCTGAAGACGCAAGAATCTAATATCATACCACGTGTACGGTGGATATTTAACTTACCTCACTTGAAGTTCACTATAAATACCGATCGAATTATCGTATCACAGCTCACCTCTTATCTTTCGAGCTTGCCTTAGTCTATAGAATTCTTAGAAATTTTCTTACTCTTTCCTTCACTTTCGGGGGGGGGGGGGGGGGGGGGAATGTCTTCGGGATGCAGTTGTGGTTCTGGCTGCAAATGCGGCGACAACTGCTCGGAAGTTTCTTTACGATTCTTGCTTTTCGTTATATATATATATATATGATTTTAAGTTAATGTAAATGAATCAAACTTGAACGATAAAGATGTCTGTTCCTGTTTTCTAAATTCCAGATGCAGCAGGAACCTTAACCTAGGATACTCCGGGAAGACAACCAATGCTGAGACCATCATCTCGGGAGTTGCTCCGATGAAGATGTTAGTTTCAGACTAAATCTTAAAAGATTCAAAAATTTTATTGCAAGCATTTGGTTACGGTTGTTTCTTAATGGTTTACTTATTACAGGAACTTCGAGGGATCAGAAATGAGCACTGAATCAGGACATGAATGCAAGTGCGGGTCAAGCTGCACCTGTGATCCATGCAACTGTTAGCCGACGATGAAGCCACAGATAATAGCAGCAGATAATAATCAAGGACCGATGAGACTCGTCTCATCAATTATGTGTATCTTTTTATGTCTCTTTCTTGTTTAATAGAAGATTATCGTGTCATAATATAATCGTGATCTCTTGCAATTCCTTTGTCTGAGGATTTTTGCAGCTGATTCATGATTGGTACGGTTCGATTATATGTTGTTAAATCGAATAAAAGATTGGTTGCTGCTTTTGTATGCGTCAAATCTTTGTCTGAAATCTATAGCCCTTCCATTAGTTTATGTTTTTACCCTTTTTTTCTTTTAATGTTGATGTTTTGCATATGCTAAGGGTTGCTTAAAAAGTTATAATTAAATTTGGACTAAATATAATATGTTTAGATAATTATCATAATTTATGAGAAGATATAGAAGATCGATAGAAAGAAAGAAGACGTAAAAGTATGTAAAATTAACATAAACGATATTCTTGGCCCAACCTTATACAAGAAATAATTACCAAAAGAATAGCATATGCAAATGCAGAATCTAAGCCATGAAGAATAGCCTATAACATATGTACGACGCCAAGTACTATTGCCATCGGCCATAAGTGGATCTCCCAACTACGGATGTAAAATTAGGTAATCGTTCAGGTTTCAATCGGATCCTATCAGGTCGGGTAAAATCGGATACAAGTCAAGTCAAGTAAATTTGATGCTTCGACTCGGATTAGGTCAGGTCATTTTCAGGTTGATTTGACACCAGATACAGTTCAGGTCGGGTTACTTTCAGTTCGGATCGATGTCAGTTCAGGTCAAAACAGTTCAAGTCTGGAGCAGATAAAGACCAGGCTAATTCAGGTTCGGATGGACTTCAGGCAGATCTCGTTCATATCGAATGACATCATTGGCTGATAAAATTAAGGTCAGATCTTTATCAGATACATATTGAGTTCAAATTGGGTCAATTTTTATTTTTGGATTAATTATTTTCATCTTTCGCGAACGTTGAATTGTAATTTGTAATTGTATATGATTTAGAGTAATTAATAAGAATATAAACAATCATGGAACTATTTTATGAAAAATATAAAATTAAGGACTAAATTGAACAAATATGAAATAACAAGTAAAAATTTAAATAAATTAAAGAACACGCATTGATGAGGGACCAAATCGAAATAATTTTAAAATGTGAGGTTGAAATTAATATAAAAAGTACTACATTATACCCATTTTAAAAAGTTATAGGCCAATTAAAAAATATAAATAATTAATAAGTATGAGTTAATTTTAGTGTCACTCTCTAATTTATGGGCTAAATTTTAGAAATTATAAAGTATTGAATTTAAGTGGTATTTTGGATGAAATTGAAGATTAAAGTGTAAAATCGCAAAGTTAGCAGACTATTTAGGAAGTGCAAGAAATTCAGCAACCCAGTCCTGAATTTATCCATTTTTCTTATGTGTTGAAAAATTCCTCCCTGTGCTCAGTTTTCCCAGATTTTCCCCCAATTTCCTTCCCCGTCAACCTCTTTTGTAACTCCGATTTCTCCACCGTCCGTCCACCGTTCATCGATCCAAAACCACCAATAGACTCACAATTGAACGGAGAACAAAACCCGACCTCTATCCCGTCGTGAATCGGTGTCGTTCGTTGTAAAAATCAACCGTAGGTTTCGTCGGTTTTAACTTGATTGTCGTTGGTTTTCCGTCGATTCAAGTCGATCCCGCCACCCGTTCATCACACCTCCTACTCCATCGGACTCATCATCACAGTGCGCTTAAAACCCGACCGAAATCGTCTCGCCGTTGTTACTCCATTATCGTCACTCACCAGCCACCGTCGGATAAGTTGGTACGTTTTAAAATTCTACAATTTGTTATGTTTTGGTGAAAAATAACACTTACACGAGACTATCGAGGTCTCGATCTACAAATCTGGAAAATTTTACTCTGAACCGACGACCAGAGCCGCCGCACGCGCCTCCCTCTGAGAGTGGGCGTCGTTTGTCATCCAGGGGAGCCGATTGAGCTGAGCCGCCTGGACTGAGCCGTTGATTGTTGACCGCCGTTGATCGTTGACTATTGACCGTTGACCTTTGATAGTTGACTTTGACCAAAAAGTCAAATTTTTTTGAAAAGTCATATTTTATGTTTTTCGATGTCCTGAGTCCGTTTCACCAAATTCGAACCCGGTAAGCTGACTTTCACTAATTAATCAGCCGATTCGATCCGTTTTTCATAATTAAGCTCCGTTTTTAATGAAATTTGTGTTTATATGTTTCTGAGGAATTATTGGAAGTTGAATTAAAGATTGAGGGCATTCGAATGGAATTTAAATGGTCGATCAGTATGATACGAAAATCGAGGTAATACATTACTACCTTTTATGCTTTATGGAACATGTTGGTGTTGGTAAATGCATGAATAAGAAATTGTTTGGTCACATCTGGGTAGTTAAATAATTCCTACACTCGATACGAATGCGGTAAAAAGTTTGGTAACTGAATAAAATTCTGATGGCTTGTACAATAAATTAGAAGTTTGATAAAGAATAATTTCAAGTTTAGAGATTATTCTGAAAAACAATTAATCCTAGGATCTCTAAATTATATTTATCTTTGTTAAGAGTTTTGATACCGAAGTTACCTGGTTAAGGAATTATGAAAATGCCCTTGAGAGCTAAAAATAGTCCGAGTTGACTAAGAATGAGAAAGTACCCTGAGAATTCGTACCTAAACCGATAAATTACAGATTTAATTGTTAAGATCTATCTTTGTACAGAAAATTCCTGAAAACCTATTTGTAACATCTGAGAAGGCACTTGACCCGAAAATCTCCAAGTTATGAGTAAATACTTGAAGAATAATTTATCGAGCGTGCTCTTTTATCAGAACTATTCGAAAAGACTAGAATAGATGATAAGTTTGAATTAAATAATAAGATCATACGGAAGGAAATGATTGAAATACATTGGATATGTAAAATGACCAAAATACCCCTGGAATGGAAATGAATCAAGAATATCACCAAGCTCAGGAATCATTTGATATCCTCAAGCTCTAAAAGGACTAAATTAACATTGAGCACCAAAATGACCAAAATACCCTTATGGACTAGAATAAGTAAATGTCTTGGATTAAGAAATTCAAATAAACATGGATGTTGTACTGCTCTTAAAATTTATGAAACACAGATTAAGCCGGTCAATCAATACTAGTGCTATATCAATACCTGAATGACATAGATACCACTTGAATCATTGTTCGTCTCCTCAAGTATGGATCGATGATAATTCTGGAAGTACTCATATTAGCTCAACTCCAGAGCGCATTCGGTACTAAGAAGTGGATATTCGTTAGACAAATCAACCACGAATACAAAATTGAACTGAACGAAAGTACAATATGTATCCGAAATCAAAAACGCCCGAATTACTTTGGAAAACTCTGAAGTAATCGGAATAAACTTGACTACTAAATGAACTAAGTAACTACAATGACTAGGATTAAATATGTGATTCGGATTAGTCTGGGAATACTGATAAACTTACATAATGTATTGTCCTTATAGGTAATGAACCACGAATCAAGTACGTCAACATTTCTTGATATCGTTGAAACGTGGAAATGAAATAAAGACCATTGGAAGATCTATTCAACGATGATTCTGGAAATGATGTATGGATATGCATTTTGGTATTAAAGAGTGAATACCCTGGAAGGGAAATGAATTGACCAGTCGACAAGCATCAGTTCTGGGAGATGTTCATCTCGAGTTGTTCAATAATCTGATCAATCGACATAGATTGAAAATGTTCTGAATCTTCGTTTCTTCCTTATCAGCTTAAATCACATTCTGAATACCCTTCTGATTACGAAAAGCTTCCGAAAAATGTCTGAATAAGATATGAATATGATAAATCATATTCTGAATAATTGACGATTCTGTCAGCTAATGAACTCTTCCAATAGTGATTCTAACTTCTGATATTTTATCGGTATACTATAGATCAGTGTTTCTCTATCTGATAAGATTATCCAGTACCTCTGAATAATATCTGTAAACACTAGTGTGTTCCCTAATCACATGAATGTTTTATTTGATTTTCGATTTGAATTCTGTTCTGATACCTGACCTGAATTTTGTTATGATTTCTTATATGGATTTTGTTCTGATATCTGATCTGAATTTTGTTTTGATTTCTGATATCTCCATTTACTGACGGAAAAATGTTTTATTTTGGGGGGTAATGTTGGAGGAAGTATATCTGCAGGCTCCTCGACTTTGTGCTCAGGGCCTTCCTGGTTGTGCGGTTGGGTGTATGGTTCTGGGAACTTACACATTATGATGTGTAGCGGTTAGAGGGATTATTATGATTTTTGAATAAAAAATATGTTTTAAAAAGATCCGTATCTTTTCACCGGTTTTACGGGAACACACTAGATAACCTATTCTGATCTTCTAAACTCAATCGTCCGAAATATTTCTCTGAACTGAAAATTTTTGTATGTTACTACCTGAGATATATATAAACTATAAATTATACATATATAATAATATAAAGTATATTATATATATATAAAGTATAATTATAAAGACTAAAGTATATAAGTATATAATATAAAGTATATAAGAATATAAACTACATAGTTTATATTTATAATATTATATACTATATATAAACTATATATATTATGTATAAACTATATAGTTTATTAATATAAATTATATAGTTTATATATAAATTATATATGAATTATATTTGAATATATACATCTTATATTTATATATTATGCATAATTATAAGTTATATATACTATGTATAAATTATATAGTTTATATAGTTTAAATATAAAGTATATATATAAACTATAAATAATACATATATAATAATATAAAGTATATTATATATATAAAGTATAATTATAAAGACTAAAGTATATAAGTATATAATATAAAGTATATAAGAATATAAACTACATAGTTTATATTTATATTATTATATACTCTATATAAACTATATATATTATGTATAAACTATATAGTTTAT